GGTTTGGCTGAGGCCGAGTTGGCTCGGTCGGGGATGAGTTGATGGGTCCGAGTCGAGCGGTTTCGAGGACTATGCCTCGGTCGAAGTGAATTTTTGTCTTTTTCTTTTGTATTTTTCCTGGATTTTCTGTGAAGGAAATGGGTTTGACAGGTAGAAGACGAGAATGGAGCGGAGTCACAGGTTTACGATGTGTATGATTCAAACTTTGGTTTAGGGATAAGAATACGGTTAATTTCTATTTACTTTATCTTTATATGTTTAAGAACTTTTATTCTCTAAGCATTGGGCATCTAATACCAGTTGTGAGCGAAGTTCGGTGCTGGATGTAATGTAAATGTGAAATAAACCATCCAATTGCATCAATCACCGATTGACCTTTATTGTTCTGTCCTTTTCAATTGCATTAATCACCGATTTACCTTTATTCTTCTGTCCTTTTCAAGTGTGAAGACACATCTTGGGATTTTTATTTTTTTTTTTTAATAATGCTTACTTTCAACTTTTTACAAAATAATTTTTGTCTGAAATATAACACCTTGATTAAAACTTATTATAAAAATAACCCTTTTGAAATTTTTTCGCGTTCGCCACTTAGTCATAGAGATGACTATAAGATATGAAGTCAATTTATTTTAAAACAAGATATGATCATTTGGGCACACATTTGTAATCGTGTCATCAAGAAAACGATATACAACAACATTGATTTTTTTTTAAATAAAAAAATAGTTATATTATATATTTAAAAATAGTGTAACTTATTATTATTAATAAAAACTATAATCATTATATTAAAATTTTCAAAGTGAAAAAAGTATTAAGGAGAGAGCATTTAAAAATAGAAAAGTTAAAAAATGAAAAAGGATATTAGAAACTGTTCGGGGCAAAAAAAAACTTCTAAAGAGCAACAAATTAGAAATAGAATTTTTAAAGAGAAAAATGTTACAGAGAGTTTGGACAAAATATTTTGAGAGAGAAAAGTTCTAAATCGAGAAAAAAATAATAATCAATTTATAAAAGTTAAAGAGAAACTTCTCAAGAGATTAAAAGAGCTAGGAACAACAAATTTTGAAAACGAAAAAGGTTTGAAGGATAATTAACCATTTTGAAGAGAAAAATACTTACATCGGGTATTAAATCCGTAATTTTGGAGAGAAGAGTTAGGCAGAGATGATAAAAATTTAGAAAGTGTTCAAGACAAATCTTTGAAGAGGGACAAGTTAGAAAAAATAGGGAGAGATAAATATTCTAGAGAAAAGAGTTGGACAAGAAATTTGGAAAGAGTTAGGAAGAACTATTTGGAGAAAAATAGTTCGAAAATGAGAAAAACAATTTGGAGAAAAATCAATTCAAAAGTTGCAAAAAAGAAAAACATAATCGTCGGAGAATTTTAAATACAAAAATTTAAAAGAATTACTGGAAAAAAAACATAGAAAAAGATACGGAAAAATATTTAAGAGAATAGTTTCAAAGCTAAAAATAAAGTTAAAAAAAAAAAGAAATATGAATTTTTAAAAAAGTTTGTTTGATCTTTTTGTAAAATAAAATGGTAAGCGGGTCATGGATTAAAAAATTCAAGGGAAAAAGAAGAATTGGAAAGAAAGTTTTGACGATAAAGAGATTTGAAAGTAATAAAGGAAAATCTTTTCAAGACAAAAAAAAAAATCAGAAATTAACAAATACTGAACGAAAAAGGTTAGGAAAAAAATATAATTTTAAAAAAAGTTAGAAATAGTTAAATAAAATTTTTAGGGAGAAAAAAGATTGAAATAAAAAAAATATTCAGGAAAGAGAGAATCAAAGCTTTTAGCAAATCAAAATATTTAAAAAAATTTAGGGTATGAATAAGGTGAAATAGAATCAATTATTCAAAAATCACCCCAAATATACCACTATAAATTAACATTTTAATGTGAAAAAAATCATTTTCCAAAATGTACTTTAAATTTTCAAACATATTTTTAAAATCATTAGTAAACTAAAAAAATTGAGAAAAAATAATTAGAAGGAGAAAGGTTTTAAGTTGACATTAAAATGTTCGGAGAAAAATGAGTATAAGTTTCTAAAAACGAGATCTAATCACAAGTTATTTTTAAAATAAATAATTAAAAGAAGATTTGAAGAAAATTTTAGAGAGAGACGAAGAACAAAAGTATAGAAGCGTAAAAGTTAAAAAGAAATAAAAGATTCGGGAGAAAAAAGTTAGAAATGGTTGAAGGAAAACTTCGGTGAGAAAAAGAGTTTGCCAGAGAAATTTTTCATAAGAGAGAAGAAATAGTTTGAAAATGAGAAATATGACTATTCAGAGTAGACAATCCTCTGTTTTCTAAACATTATTTTTTAAATAGTTTGGTTAATAATATATTTTTGAAATAAATTTGATACAAAAAATAATATTAAAATAAGTCTGCTAAAAACGAGGTGGACCAAAATTGCACGAGCCATAAAACTTATTAACCTAAATTGCATAAAATGTTCATGCATATCTAATCAATTAGAAATTTGAGATTATTTCAAAAAAAAAAAAAGGGGGGTTTGAGAACTTACCAAAGCTAGTCAGGTTTTGGCCGCGGGAAAAAAATGCTCGGATGCCCTCCATAGCTTCATTTATAACAATCTTCACACTAAAATCTGGATGGCAGATAATGACAAAGATCCCAAATCAAGAATTAGATTCATTTATTTTAGATGATCATCAAATGGGCAAATACTAAACAAGCTAATCTTTCATCTTAATTATCCAGACCGTATAATCATAGGAAAATATCTCCTTATTCCTCTTCTTTGAATTCAATTAAGTTCCAATCCAGCAGCATTTCCATTAGATGATCATCTTTCAATTCATTGCAATCACGTGCATATATAGATGAAGTGTTGTCTACGAGTTAATATCTTTGACCTCTATGGAATATATGTTTGAGAGAGCTGAGATCAAATAAAACAGAGTAATAGGAGGTTTTACAAGTTTAATTGGAAGTATAGATAAACAGAGTAATTAATATCTTTGAACTCTGAGGATTGGAGTTCCCGAGTAAATATATGCAAAACCCTAGCAAGACCTACAAATAATTTTATGATTTCCAGAATTCTACCTCAGTTCTTTTCATGCATCCAAACAAACATGTCCTAGTATTATGACTCAAAGATAGTTTGGTGTAAATAAATGACGAAAACCAGATTTAATCATCGAAGCATGAGAAAATGCAAACAAAACAGTAACACACCTTCAAGGTCTGAACCAAAAAAACAGAGTCTCTGTTTTCCGATCCACATTCTAACGAACCCCATTCAGATGGCTCCGATTCGAGTTGGTCTAATGGTGGATTCAACGAAGAAGCGGTAGATCGATCGGAGGAAATCGATGTTGATGCAATCGAAAAGTCGCTTTCCGTGGCTTCGATTCGAGTCGTTCGCGGTCCGATTCATGAAACCCTAACGAAAAACCCGAAGCGGATGAAGGGAGGAAAGCTAGAAGCGTTGGAAAGGACATGAATCGGAGGAAAAGGAGAAGTCGCGGGAAAAAGGAAAAACTGATGCTGTGTGTGAAGGAGAAAATTAGAACCAGTGGAATCGACGAAATAGGGATTTTAAGAAGGCGAAGAAGAAATATCTCCAACAATGGGATTCTATTTGAAGTTGTTGCGGTTAATCCAATCAAATCATTTCAGTACATTAATTAATATCTCTGACATAGCTTAACTGCTCAAGGAAGTTTAATGATTACGAATAATTCTAATATCAAAAATATTTTTAACTTTTAATCACAGTGAGATTTTTACTTTACTTTTTTTCTATTTTACTTTCCAACAAATAAAAGTTAAATGAATTTGAGACCAAGGTTAGAACGCTAAAATTACTTATAAACCAATGCAAGTTTTATATATTTTTTCTTCTGGTCGCATACAAATTCGGACTTTTTTTTTCTTTCTTAATATTCGTAAAAATAAAATTAATTATTTAAATATTACAAAACTCCAAACTAATTTTAAAAAGAATCCAGATTTCATTCTTCCATTCATTTGTTGTTTTTTTTTTCTAAACACTCACATACACCACCTCATAGATTAGGCATAGTATTAAATATCTATCGACGTTTACATGTATTTATAGATGTGACATCGAGAGGTAAACTGACATATTCATCATATTAAAAAAAATCGATAAAAATAAAAAACATCAACAAAATATATATATATATATATATATATATATAATATTAATATTAATCCTTTTTAACTTACTTACAAATAGAAACATGTTCGATTAGTTCTATGAGGTAATCGCGAGGATATCCAAATTGTCCACACTAACATGTTCATGGCTCCCATATTGTAGCCCAACTACTCTTGTGTCTCATTAATGAACCTCAATTATTTATCCTTAAAAAAAAAAAAAAAAAAGCATTGACCTGTGACTTGATCAAAGTTGTTTTGGGAAATGGGGGCCTCCTGCTTTGAAAAGCAGATCTCTGTGGCATCCTAATTTGACCGAATTAGGAAGCTTGTCGAACAAGGAATTTTAATAAATTGACTGAGACGCGCTATAAGTTACTTAATCATGTCAATAAACAAATTTTTTTCCCACATCTTTGTGGTTTAGCATATTTTTATCTAATTAACTTTCAAATAAGAGGTTTATTTTATAAATTTCGAGTCTTCATAAAAAATTAAAAATTGAATGTTTAGTTCACGGACCGGTAACTGTGTGTAGGAAAAGAAAATAATGTGCTTCTTATACAACATTTCATTGGGAAAACACTTTTAAAAACCTAAAATATATTAAGGATAAAATTATAAAAATAATGTAATAATCCCTCAAATGTATGAGATGCGTCGAAGAATAGAGAAATTAGTTAGTAAAAAAATCTGATATCATATAACAATCTCTCGTAAAACCAAAATAAATCAACTGCAAAACTTTAGTATTATGAAACTTTTTAGTTTAAAATTTTCTATATAAATTATAATTTTAGTCCTATATTTTAACTTGATATTACATACTCTAATTAGATCTTCATATTAAAAAACAATAATAATGGCAACGTGAGCTTGATTGTTATTCAACAGATTCAAACTAAGCTCGAATCTTTATCCATAGCGGTGTTTGTATCAGAAAATAAAAATAAATTTTTAATTATTATGATGTAGGTTATTGATTCCATTTCTATCCACTATTTTTAACAAGGAATAATAAAATACAATCGGACAAATTATTTGCGTTACTCGATGATAATGAAAGTACAATATTATAATGTTAAACACTGAAGCAGATTCCTTGCAACATCGTCAATCTTCGTGCATAAGCTTGCAGAGTGGAAGCCAAGCCATGTCTATAAATTCTTCAGTTCATCTGCTAAATCGTCACACTTAATTCGGAATTCGGCGTTAGGCTAAAATGTTTGCTTTCAAAGAAATGCCGCAGTCCGCTTCTTCCCTGTTCGCGGCCTACGCCTCCTTCGCCACCTCTATGATGATGATCCGTTCTATAACCAACGACCTTCTTCCTCCCCAATTACTTTCCTTCATCTCCTCCATTTTATTCTACTTTTTTCCCCCGAAATCCTCTCCTCAGGCCACCCTCGTCATCGAGAAGAAGTCCAATTTCTCCAAGAACCAGGTCTATGAAGCTGCCGAGATCTACCTCCGTACAAAAATCAGCTCCTCAATGGACCGTCTCAAGGTCTCCAAAACCGGAAGGCAGAAGAAAGTTTCCCTCTCCATGGAAAAGGGCCAAGAAATTACTGATGATTTTGAGAACATTCACCTCACGTGGCGATTCGTCTCCGTAGAAAAGAAGGAAGACGGTGAATACGCCAAAGAGAAATACCACTACGAACTTGTATTCGATAAGAAATTCACGGATACGATTATAGATTTCTATTTCCCTTACATCTTACGCAGAGCCAAGGAGATTAAAGAGCTGGATAACGTTGCCAAGCTCTGTAGCCAAGATTGTACCTACGATGACGATTCTGGTGGTAGCGATGGATGTCGAGGGAATTGGGGATCCATCGCTCTTGAACATCCGGCGACGTTTGATACTCTGGCGGTGGATCCTGATTTGAAGAAGATGATAATAGACGATTTGGATAGATTCGTCAAGAGGAAGGAATTCTATCGGAAGGTAGGGAAGGCTTGGAAGAGAGGCTATTTGTTGTACGGTCCGCCTGGTACGGGGAAATCCAGCTTAATCGCCGCCATGGCTAATTACCTCAAGTTTGACATCTACGATCTTGATCTCACGGATATCGACAGCAATTACAATCTACGAAGAGCGTTACTCTCTACTACGAATCGCTCAATTTTGGTGATTGAGGATATAGATTGCAGTGTGAATTTGCAGAATCGGGAAAGCGACGAGAACAACGACGACTCTACCAGAAGCAGGGTAGGTTTAATTAATTTTCTCGATTTTTCCCCTCCGAATTGTTGGATTATACTCTTGGTAATCGAAATTGAAACGGAAATTTCTGTGATGATTTGCAGTTGACGCTATCCGGTATGCTGAATTTCATAGATGGATTGTGGTCGAGTTGCGGCGACGAGAGAATCATCGTCCTCACGACGAATCACAAGGAACGGTTGGACCCGGCGCTGTTACGACCAGGTCGAATGGACGTCCACATAAACTTGTCCTACTGCACCTCCAAGGCGTTCAAGGTCTTGGCCACCAATTACCTCGGCGGCGAAGCGACTGCTCATCCGCTGTACGAAGAAATCGAAGGCCTAATCGATGGCGCCAACGTGACTCCGGCGGAGGTTGCGGAAGAGCTAATGAAGAGTAACGACATTGACACCGTCATGGAAGGATTGGCCAAGTTTGTGAGACTTAAGAGAGAGGAACAGAGTGGGGGAAATGAGGCGCCGGAGGAGGAAGAAGGCGATGAGATTGTGGAAGAAGAGCAAGAAGAAAAACTGAACAGAAAAAAGAACGGCGCCGGAGTTAGGAGGTACCGGAGAGGACTTAGAATGGGAAGCAGAAGTCGTCGGCCGCCGTCGTCGTCGGTAGGTAGTCTTATAAACAATCATGGCTGAAGCAAATAAAACCCGTGTTGTTACTTGTTACTCAATTTTCTTTTCTGCAATACAGCGAGAGGATGGCGAATTGTTAATTACGTATGTCTGAGGGAGCCACGTAACGTTGGAGTTTTTGTTTTTTCTTTTATTTTAACAACTTTATGTTTTTTTACGAATAAAAATTAAAAATTCTGTAAACAATATTTGGATAATTATACATGCCGTACCTTTTTTTTTTCTTTAATCCAAAAGCGAAACGCCACGGTAAGTCACTGAAGAAAATTGTGGTCCACAATCCAGTCACCATCAGTCTCCATCTTTCCATGAGGTTCGGATTAGTTTAAAAAATATCCCTTTTCCCTGCATTTTTCTCTCTTTGTCAAGAATTTAATCGCGATAACTAAGCATTGTTAAGTGAAATGAAGTTTGGAAAGAAATATCAAAGTTATTCTACCTCTTGGCATCGATCTCCCTCAAATTGTACCACAGAATTTCTCCAACTCTCTTACCTCTTCCAAGTAATTGAAATTTTATTCTTCTAAAAATGGTAAGTTTAGTACTTTAATTGTCATTTTGATTGAATTTAATAAAGGGTAATTTGTTTTTTACAACATGTGAGGGTGAGGTTCCATTCACAATCTCTTGATTAGAGATATGTGCTAATTATTACTCATATGTTCGTGTTTTGGCTCTATAAAGGTAATTAATAGCCTAAATTTTATATATAAACGAAATATAAATACTTAAGAGTAATCAGTGAATATAAAGATGTCAAATTGAAAAAGTCGTGAGTTTAAATTCTTTATTCTACATGTTGTGAATATGAAAATAATTTTTTCTATTCTTTTATATAAAAATTCAAATAAAATGAATGTAAAAGTTATAATAATATTTACATAATATTTCATAAGAAATGTTGTTTTGAATACGACATTTAGAGACGAAGATTCGAATTCAAACTTGTTAGTTACATCCAAGTGCTTAACTAAATTTAAGTTGGTGATTAGAAGTGTTATTATGCTGATAAATTTATTAAAAAATTATTAATAAATCTTATTTCTGTTCATCATATAAAATAAAAAATAAAACTCTAATTTTATTTAATGTGTCATCTTTCCTTTTCATTTCATTTGTTGTCTTTAAATTTTCGAGTTCATTATATTTTAAATCCTCTGAACTTGGCTTTTTTTTTTTTAAACTATTTTTCCTTTATTAATTTTCGCAGACTCAGCGACGTTCGGTTGTGTTCATTCCCTACTTCTCGAGGGCACATAGTAATCCATAAAGGTCGAAGGAGGAAAGACAGGCATAAATCCAAACCGAACCGGCTCAGCTCCACAGTTTATTTGGTTCGATTCGGTCCTTTTAATATATAAAACCCGATCGTTTTAAATATTCAGTAAAACCGAACCGACTTCCCCCTTGATCGAAAGCCCTCAATTGGAATCGACGGACATCCTACTTCTTCACACACGAGGAGCGAAGTAAGCAATTCGATATCAGATCTCGTGGCATCAGAATCTTTTCGTTCCTTCGATCAGTTCTGATCATTTTAAAGTTTTGATTCAGAAACTTGCTATGCGATTGCGCTGAATATTTTCTTTCCTTCTACTCGTTTTTCATCTTTCTTATTTGATATTTTCCGGACAGAGTTAATTTAAAGATGGATCCAAACTCCGTGAAGTCGACCCTTTCGAATTTAGCATTTGGAAATGTAATGGCCGCTGCTGCTCGTGATTATCAAAAGGTATTTGTACCATGAACCCGACCTTTAAAGTGATTCTTTTCCTTTTTGGATTATTTCAGTGTCTGGTTTTTGTAGTTATTGTGTGGAAAGTAAAGCATATCATCTGTAGCTTTAGCTTCAGGTTATAAAACTGCAAGCTAGACATATCATCTGAATTGAAAATCAGTTGATTCTTCTTCCTTCTGGGTTTTCCTTCTCCCCCTACCAAATTTCTCTGAGTATGATTACAGAACATGAGCTCAAACGCTTCTACTCTTCTGGTTCTGGCTTAGTTTAACTTTATTCAATACAGTACCGCATTAGTTTTTCTCGTTTATTTAAATAGAGTGCAGCCAGACACAATGAACATAACCAAATTTTTGTGGACTCAAGCACTGTTTTCACCCAACTCCAGATTTCCCCTTCTTTTAAATGCCCACAATAACAGCAACCTATCGGGATTTTGGTCTTTACGTTTATAGTTCTTTAATCTGGAAAAGTTCCCACATTTATCTGTTTTCTTCATACTGGCTTCATGAATGCATTTGTTGACTTTCCAGGAATTGCTTGCCCAAGAGAAGGTTCAAGCATCAAGTTCTAACAACGATGAAGTTGACCTTGACGAGTTGATGGATGTAGGTTTAATGATTGGGATCCTTCCATACTGTATATTAATGTTCGTGATTTTCACTAATGTTTGCTTACATGGATCAGGATCCTGAGCTGGAAAAATTGCATGCAGATAGAATTGCAGCTCTCAAGGTTCGAGTTTGTGTGATTGTTTTGTTTATACATATAGTAATTAGTATCATTGTATGTAGTTTGCAATATTCAATAGGCTGCCAAGTTAGGTCTTCGGGGACTTGAGAAATGTTTTTCTTGTTTAAGCTCACCAGTAGTAACATGGAACTTGAGACTTTGATTCATGTGCACCATGCCCTCAGCCTTTAACTAGCTGGATTTCCCTTATGGGCAGTTCATTTTGATTCTTAATATGTCAGGATTCATAACGATTTCCAGTTTGGAGCCAACATTCCCAAATTGGCCATACATTTACAATATCATTTGTTTGAGCAGAAGGAAGCTGAGAAGCGAGAAGCAATGAAGAGACAAGGGCATGGAGAATACAGAGAAATAACCGAGGGAGACTTTTTGGGTGAAGTCACCGGGAGTGAAAAAGTGATTTGCCACTTTTATCATCATGAATTCTATCGGTGCAAGTAAATCTTTTAATTTGAAATCCCCCACTAATCCGAACAATATGCTTGCATGTTGTAAAAGTCTCTATATTAATGTCAGTCCTTCTCTCTTAGAATTATGGATAAGCATCTGAAGACTCTTGCACCAAAACATGCAGACACAAAATTCATCAAGCTTGATGCAGAGGTCGGTACAAAATCTATGTTAACAGCAATATCCGTTCTTTGTGTACCATTTATTGTGAAAGTTTTTCAGGATAGAGAACTTGTAGGTGCTAATTATCTAAGAAAAATTGCAGAATGCACCCTTCTTTGTTACCAAACTTGGAATCAAGACTTTGCCTTGTGTCGTTATCTTCAGGTAACCTCATTTCCTTGGCCCATTTATTCCTGTAGTCATACCTTTCTAGTAAGTGGAAGGCATATAGGGTAGAGCATTTGATTGGCTGTTAATAAGTCGAAAGAAAAAGGAAATAACGTAAATGACCGCCCCGTATAGTGGTAACATTGTCTCAAGTAGTTTCTTAAAGAGCTAAAAAGTCGTTATGGTGATATTTAATGCTAATTCTGCTGTTGGTTTCTGTGTATGAATCTGCTTTGAAGGATGTGTGGTTCTTGGTTGCAGGAAAGGCATTGCTGTAGATAGGCTTATTGGGTTCCAAGATTTAGGAGGAAAAGATGATTTCAACACAAAGACACTAGAAATTCTGTTGACAAAGAAAGGTACGTCTCTACCAGGTGTATTTTAACTCAATTATAGCCTTGTCTGACTGAACAGGCAATGTACAGGTATCATTAGTGAGAAAAAAGAAGATGAGGAAGAGGATGAGTACGACGAAAGTAGGCGAAGGACCGTGAGATCTTCTGTCCATGTTGACTCTGACTCAGATTAGGGAACAGAATTTGCCTTCTCAATTGAATTACAAAGATGTGTTTAGAACTTGATGATGTTCTGTCTAATATGTTGAGTATTTTGTAAGCGACCTCTCAAACTATACATAGTTTATCAAGGTATTGACATTAAAGCTAAACCATGATAATCTTAGATTTAATGCCATTGGTGAAGCACTAACGTCCATTCTCGCTCTCGATTAAATCTTTAACAAGATTTACTAGAATGCTGCTTCAAGTATAATTCAAATAGATTAGACATCTTACATTCTTAATGTCATCTCAAATATTGATGGTTCGATTTTCTACTCTTGCAATTCTTTAACTCAAAAATAGAATGTCTAGAATGAGATGTTTAGGAATAGGATGCCTTTGTTTAGGTAGATATTTGAGAATAATGAACTATTTTTTCTTCTAAGAAAGAAAAGCTTAGAATGATGGGTTGAGGTTTAATCTCAAAAGTAAGTCATGCTTCAAATAGGCGAATAAAAGGAAAATCGACATTTTGATACTGAGAACTGATGGTGCTGAAAATAAGGGTTCCATTTCAAAGATACCTTCTGAAATCTTGAGGAAAAATGACAATAAAGCCTTGAAATTAAAAATAATATATTGAGGAAAATTATATTAAAGTATTCTAATAATGCGAATCGAACTAGTTATTGTTAAATATCAACTATTGTCAATGAGTTGAAATAATAAATTAGGGGCGGGGCGGGGCACGTGGCAGGAGGAGAATGCGGGTGCAGGGAAGAACAGTAGAGGAGCAGGCAGGAGATGGATTTACCGGGAAAGAAGAGTAGGGAGACGTTAGGGCAGTTGGGTTTAGATGGTAAGGAAGTATTTGAAGGCCCTGGCGTTTCGCCGGAAACGAAAATTAAATCAAAATCGATCATCTCCGTTTGGTTTTTTAGGGTAACATTATAATATACATATGGATATTGATGGATCCGCGACCTCGTCAATGTTCTGAAACAAATCTCTTCGATCAACAACTCAACAACCTCTCTCTCTCATCCAATCTCCCTTCTCTTATGCTCTGTAATCGTGTAAGCTTAAATTCGTTTCTCTCCACATTTTTCCTCAATATAATCGCCCATCGCCGCCTCCTTCGTTCCTGCCCCTTACATTGCGCACCTTCTTCCAATTTCCCATACGTAATTCTTTCTAATCCCTCGCCTCTCTCATTCTTTCTCTCTTTTTTTCAATGTGCGTTTCATTTTTTGTTTGATTCCATCTTCTTTAATTTGCAGGACGGGCATTAGGAGAGGGGAATTCAGAAATCTGGTATTTGTGATATGAGTGCTTGATTCATATTTTGATGCGCAACCCGTTTAATTTACAAGTTTGAAAGCACGCCATCATGTCCGGATCATTATCTTCCAAACCAGGTATGCTTATAATCCAATTCCAGTCGTCGATTATAAATCTTTTTCCCCTGTTTCTGATCTTTTTAAATGAATCTTTCGTTTTGGCAACTAAAAATTTTGCAAGAATGTTCAAATGTGCCAAGTTACTGAATGAATGTTGTTGAATTAAATGATTGATCGCATGGCTAAATAGGGTAATAAGATAGATGTATGCAGGGCGAGAGATTGTTGTTGGAGCTGAAAAAATGAATACATAGATAACTTGAATGGATATATATATAGTTTCAATGTAAAGATCGTCGATTCTTTTAAAATTTATAGTTCTTGAAGGCTCTGATGTTGAGAACTCCGAGGATGAGAAGAACACATCCATTGGGTCCTTGAAGCAGAAGGCAGCCATTGCCTCCTCCAAGTTCAGGCATTCTATGACAAAAAGGGGCAGGAGAAGTAGCAAAGTTATGTCGGTGGAAATTGAGGATGTGCGTGATAGAGAGGAGGTTCAGGCCGTGGACGCTTTTCGTCAAGCTTTAATATTGGAGGAGTTGCTACCTGCCAAGCACGATGACTATCACATGATGCTCAGGTTTTTTCCTTTTCTCTTATATCCTAAGTTTTATCACCTCAGTCGTTAGGTGTTAATGAACTGCTCTGTATATAGTTGTCGAGAAAATCAGGCCAAGTTTACTTCAAATTTGGTTGATATGTATGTCCCACTTGAAAATTCAGGAAGTGAACTTAAAATAGTTGTTTCATGTCTTTGATCCTTAACTTAGATAAATTTCTTGAAAGGGTGATTCCAAATATGGTGCAAGCATCATATTGTTGAACAGAAGTATTATGTAAATTTCTCTTTAATATTTGTTGTTTATGTTATACTCTCAAAACATTCCTTTGGATATAGATTCTTGAAGGCCAGGAAGTTTGATATTGAGAAAACGAAGCAAATGTGGTCTGACATGCTCCAGTGGCGTAAAGAATTTGGCGTTGACACCATAATGGAGGTATTAATTTGATGTAGAAGTATTTGCTTAGGCTTTACAAACTGTCCGCATCTTTCTCTGTACAAATTACCAGATCATTTTAGAACTCCCAAATCGAATTCACTGACATATATATTGTTTTAATCTCTGTTTAAGGATTTTGTATTTGAGGAGCTTGATCAAGTCTTAGATTATTATCCTCAAGGGCATCATGGTGTGGATAAGGAAGGACGGCCTGTGTATATTGAGAAATTGGGCAAGGTGGATCCCACCAAGTTAATGCAAGTCACTGATATTGACCGGTATCTGAAATACCACGTACGAGAGTTTGAGAGGACATTCGCTGTAAAGTTTCCTGCCTGTTCAATTGCTTCCAAGAGGCAAATTGATCAAAGTACAACAATTTTGGATGTCCAAGGAGTGGTATGTATGTCCATTACTACTTGCTACAAGAGAATAATTTGTTTCCAAGAATGTTTTTTCTTTTCCCCTTTTTAATTCCACGGTTGCAGCTTTCAAACTAAAATTGATGTGACAGGGACTTAAAAACTTTAATAAGACTGCTCGGGATCTTATCTCCCGCCTTCAGAAAATTGATGGCGAGAACTATCCAGAGGTACTGTAGAATGTTTGGTTTTCAGTTTCAAGAATGTTCATTTGTCTATTAACTATGTCCTGTAGTAAACCAAAATGCAATTAAACGTGAATGCAGACTTTGAACCGCATGTTCATCATTAATGCTGGTTCCGGATTTAGAATGCTGTGGAGCACTGTAAAGTCCTTCCTAGATCCTAAAACCACAGCAAAGATCCATGTAAACGATCGATGTGCTTCTCTGTCTCAGTTTTGCCAAAATTAATCGTATCAAATGTAATTAATTAGTGAGATTTTCCAGGTTCTTGGAAATAAATACCAGAGCAAGTTGCTTGAAATTATTGATTCCAGGTATGCCACTGAATTAGAGACAGTAAACTTTCACATATTATATCAACTTCACTTTTCCTATTACCTTGTGATATTTTCAAGGTACCTGTTGTAAATTTGGAAATGTTTATGTAGTGTTTTGTAAATATTTCCTCCCTTTGTTGTGTCATGTTGAACCAGCGAGTTGCCAGAGTTTCTTGGAGGCACCTGCACCTGCGCTGATCAAGGAGGATGCATGCGTTCTGATAAAGGTCCATGGAAAGACCCGGAAATATTAAAGGTCCCAATCAATATCTCCAAACTGTGATGGTTTTCCATCTTTTATTATAGTTCAGCTGACTTTTACCATTATTTAGTTGTCTTAAATAACTGATGGAATTACAGATGGTCAGCAATGGAAATCATAAATGTTCGAGGATATCTGAGGGCAACGAGGTTTTTTATTGGGCTTTGAGTTTGCATATTTCTGGTTTTT